AAACTATTTCCCACTAGCATACAGCAAAATTCTTTAAGCAATGAAAACAAATGACCGTCTCCACCAAAAAGGTTCTATGAAAAAACTTGATTCAGGGGCTGGAAAATAAAAGATTTGTCTTATTTAGTTTTATTTAAACAAATATGGGAAACCTTAACATTTGCAATCCACATCAGCATACAGTCAAAGAAAGTAAGGGTAAGCTACACTCCTTCAATTACCCTCTCTACCTGTTGCAGTTTGCCATGAGTCAGCCAATTGGGGCCAAGGAGATAATTCTTGGCAGGACTGGGTTCCTACAGCTTTTATAGAGCCTGGTCATGAGAAATATTTTGGCATAGTGAAGTATTGTATTCTGAACTGATTTTACTCCACTTGTAATACAGTATCTGAAAAACCTATGTATACACCACACTGTAAGTAACAAGAAAAACTCTATACCATTTTGTTATATAAAGCAATTCGATTCTTAGAAGTATTTAACCATTAAAATGTATGGGAAAGAACAGGTGACTGTCCAGGTTTTCTTATTTAATATATGTGACTCATAATGCTCTATCAACTTGCAATCACTTTATCTGTCCCAAAGACATAAATGGTTATACTGTATATGATTTTACTTCAGGATGCAGACTGGTCTCAGTTGTGAATAACTAAACAGTTAAACTGCTTTTACTATAACTTTGATTGACTGCAGACTAAATAAACATGGCTGATCCACAGAGGCTAATAATTTTGACATGAATATGAAAAGGACTATATTTCTCTTAGTTCCAAAGGGTTTATTAAAGATTTTTATACTTGGTATAGCGGGAAAGCGCTCTTGGTGGGTACAGAAAAAGCTCTTAATATTTTCCCTGTTCTATTAAGACCTATTGCCAGATTTTATTCAAACATAATAAAAAGTGCATAAATGTATTGCCAAGTTAGAGTTGTGCTCAGGAGAATTTGTTCCACAAATATAAAATCTTAAAAGCCACTTCAATAGTCTCATTAATCAAGCCTGATGTTGAAAAGTGAAAAATGAGCATTTTATAAAAATGTAAACATAAGTAGGCTTTTAGTTACATAAGTACTGATCCAGGATGTTCCGCACTCCTACTCTCAGAAGACAAACGATCTTTGTATGCAATCGATGCTAGATGGAACAATCCTTTTGAGAAGCACTATAGTGTAAACTGAAGGCATGAGAAAGTAGCAAATGGGTTGACCAAACTTGGAAGATATTCAAAAAAATGATGCAGGTTACATTATCAACACTAATTGAACAGAAATGTGCACTCCTTTAATGAAAACTGTTACAGTCCAATTAATGTGTGTAGATTGAAAGAAAGGGATTTATAGTTCGTTTCAAAAACCTATCCTCATGATGAATGTTTCAAGATGTATCATGACATGCATCAGAGACTTCAAACAGTAAGAATAGGCATAAAGAAGGAAAGGCTTTATAGTATTCTCCAATTGACTCAGCTATTGCTGTTTTTAATGGAAAAAAAGCATTAATTAAAAAAAAAAAGATTTTCATTAGGGGCAGCATGATGGCACAGCGCTAAGGCCCTGTGTTCAATTCCAGACCTGGGGTGCTATTTGCATGGAGTTTGTGTGTTCTCTCTGGGTTTGCATGGGTTTCCTCACACTGTCAAAAGACACACTGCTAGGTTAATCAGCTTCTGGGTGACCCTGCTGTGTGCTTTTGTCTGCCAAGTGATAGACTGGCATCTTATCCAGGATGTATCCTGCCTTGTGCCTGTTGCTTGCTGAGAAAGGCTCTGGCTCCCCTGTGACCCTGAATTGGAGGATGCAGTTAGAAGATGGATGGATATATTTTCTTTACGGTTATTGGGAACATCAGAGTTTCTGTATGGCTTTAGGTGAAGGAAAAACAACAAACTATGGACCTCATTCATAAAAGTTTTCCATGATAAGATGCAACATCCATAAGCTTGTAACTATATTTACCTTATTGTAGATAGACTTGTTGAGAATGTGGCTCTGTGTTTTTAGTAATGCTGTAATATTTAAGAATTTAAAAAAAATATGTACTTAGATTAATGAAACTTCAGTTATTGTGTGGATTAAATTGTACAGTGAAGTAAAAAGAGCCCTGGTAGATTAGTGTTGCGTTTAATAACTGAAGGGAATATCATCATAATTTGCACAGCAAGTAGCAAAATATGAAAAATTAGTTAGACTAATATTTGACAGATAGTCCTTTATCAGGAAATACCTGTGGAAAAACCTAAATGAACTGCAGTTAGTTATACATCAACCTGTTCTCCACAGGAATACTCTCAAGATGACTACTAAAATCATTTTGAGAACATTCCTGTGGAGAACCAGTTAATATACATCATTGCTAAACACCAATATAGATTAATCAAAGTTTTTATAATGCCTTACAGCAGGTTCTTCAGTTTTGTAAAGGGCAACTTAATAGCATTCTGCACTTACTGTAATGATGCCTCTGTTCTCCACTATTAACACTCAGTAGGGCCCTTATTTCTCTGTGTAAGCACTTGCTTATACATTAAGATAATTTGAAAAAAGGAATCAATTTGTAGATAGGTTTGCAATGGATGCCACACCAAAAATAACCACAGATCCATGCCCTCAAACAGTTTGGAAAGGATGGGGTAGATCTGAATGTTATTCCAGAAAGTCCCTTGCAAAAGGTGAAAAATGGTGCTCACAGTGCCCTCTAGAAAATGCTTATGTTGAGATCTAGGAACTTGTTTCAAATCATACCATCTACAGTACATGTGGTAAGATAGGTGCTGTGAAGGAGATTTAAGTGATTCATTACACAATTAGTATTAGAGGCAGAATTTATATTTGTTTTAGAAAACATGAAGCTAATTCCTTAGTTTTGCCCCCAAGATCAAACTGATTGTGCAAACAACCTTTCCCCACAGATGCGATTTGCTCACACTGCAGAAGGGAGACAAAGGAGTACAAAAAGAAGAGCCTGGCAGTTTGTATTACAATGCCAAGCCTGCAATGAGCAAAGACCATCCACACTGAAGATATCTAATAGATTGTGGTGACAAAGGGATTGATAATCTGAAAAAGAGAAAGGAGAACACAGCCTGAAAGAAGTGTACATTGTGGAAATGAGGGAAAATTTTCAGTGATCTTGGGAATCATTCTACCCGAACAGCAAATTATTTGAATATAATTGTTGAATTATGAGACCAAATTAGGTAGGTGTTTTTACCCAACTTTTTCAGCTCAATGTCCATTACTATGCCAGATATATGGAAGGTATCTACTGTTGTACCTATCCCCAAAAAGGCAGGCACTAAATCATTTAATGATTTTAGACCTGTGGTTCTACCCCTCTTTTTTGATATTATATAAAATAATATTCTTTTTTAATACATAATAACATTCTCAGACAGATACACTTTTTAGCAAAATGTATGGAAGGAGTTGTAAGTAACCACCTCATGTTGGATCCACCACAATTTGCTTTAAGACACAGGGTGAGAGAGGATACTACTTACTTTAGCTAAATTGGTAACAAACATCTCCAACAAATTTCTTTGTGTGAGATCCATTTATTGATTTTAGCCCAGTTTTTAATACTATGCAAGTTCATATTCTTTTACAACACTTCTCTGATGCATATGAATGGGAGTATTATATGCTAGATAAGGGACTTTTCTCACAGATCAGCCTCAGAGATTATACGAATGGTGCATTTTCACCCTAGCATTATGTGCTATCACCTCTTTTGTTCTCAAAATATACTTCATATTCAGATTTAGAACACTACTGTCAATCTATTCAAATATGCTGATGGTATGGTTCTAGTGGGATCAACCTTCAGGTGAGCAAACTTACCTTGAGCAAATCAGTAATTTTGAAAACTGGTGTCAATCCAGTGCATTGGAAATAAATGTGACCGAAACTAAAGAGCTTCTTTTCAGTGTTAAATCCAACTGTTGGCAACCTTTCAGCCAACAGTACTTAATGGTCAGTCTACAGAGGTTGTGGAGAGTTTTAAAAATCTGGGAACACATACTTGACAGACGTTGAGTTACACTGAGAATACAGATAATATTTTCAAGAAAGCAATTCAGAGGCTGTTTTTAATTTGGAAACTTAAGACCTTAAATGTCAGTCAAAATGTCCTAAAGAAGGCTTATAAAAGCCTTATTGACAGCATCCTGGCATTTAAAGATGACAGTGCGGTTTATATATCTGGGGGTGAAAGGTAATATCAGAGTCAAGGATTGTGAGAATGGCAGGAAAAATAACTGCGTAGCAGCAGACCCAGTCTGGTGATTAATACCACAGTTAAGTTCTCAAAAAGGTGAGGAGTTTCACAGCTGATTCCACTAATCCACTCTATCCTCAGGTTGTATAGCTCCCACCAGGGAGACAGTTTAGGGTACCAAAATTGAAAGGGTAACAGAAGTGTTCATAAGAAGTCCTTTGTCCCATGAGCAATAAAACTGCTTAATGAATGTAAAAATATTAAGAATATTCTTTCCCACTTCTTATTTAATTAGGTAAATGGTATTATTTTAGTATATATAGTACAGTATATAGGTAAATAGTATAGGTACAATTTTTTATTATTTTGTGCACCTGAATGAGATTTAATGTGACTTTTATGTTTGGTGTCAAAATGTTTGATGTAGTTCTTATGGGATGAAACCAAAGACATTTCTACAGTTGAGAACTATTGCCTTACAAGTGGGCTCCAAGAGCATAGGGTTATTGAACCATTCAGACAATGCACGCAAATCAAAGGAACAGGAATAACAGAAAACTCTTTAACTCCTTAAGAGCCTTCATGCTTAGAATGGAAAGCTTATCATGGGGGGGGGGGGGTGCTTATTATAATTTAAAATTAATTTTCCAAAAGTGACATGGGATATGAAACTTTAAATGTAAGATAATACATTTTTAATTAACCTCAAGATTCTACACTTTAAATATATCCCTTCATTCAGTCAGAAAACCTTTGAATAGTTTTAAGAATAAATGATACATTTAATGCCTAATATTGGATTTATTATTTTTTTGTTTAACAAATATGGAGTGCAGAAATTACTTATAATGCTTCCTAGTGCAGCATGGTGTTTAAGAGTTTGTATCAATCCAAGGAACGATGGAATAGAAAATATAAATAAAAATACTAAAACTATTTTCAGCAAATAAAGATAATGAAATTTACAATTTACAATGACAATATAGACATACCGGATCATAAGTAAAAAAAAAAGAACATGCACGCTTTCTACTAACATTCATAGAATGTGAACATTGTCAAATTGGAAATTAATAATGGTTTTAACATGTTGAAAATGTAAAATAAAAAGTATATTTCAAGCAGATTCTAAAAGTGTGCATCTATTTATTATTAAAAGGGACGAGCTCCATACCTATATTCTAAGCACTAATCTTTTACACCAAAATAGTGGTCAATTCTTACTACGATTCTGGTCAAGTATGAACATTTTGAAGAATCTAATGCGTGTAAGCACGTTTAACCAAATAAAAAGACTTTTGTTACAATAAAAAAATCAATCTTGTGAAAAAGTGACCCAGAACAAAGTTACTTCACTATCAATATATCATTAAAATGTTTTTTTTTAAACTGACATCCTTACAATCACAGAAATCCTAAATGCATAAGGTTTTTCTAGTGTTTATAAGCCTCATATTTTATAATACTGGATATATACAAACTTATACTGCATAAAAAATGGAAAATATGTAGATTTACATCTCAAATATGGCACATGTCACTTTCAAGTTCGTTTTGTCCTTTTGGCTGCTGGCTCCTCTGTTCTTTGGCCCCCTCGAGTGCGGACTGCAGGAGGGCTGACTTCAGGCTTGCGTCCAAGTTTGGCGGCAGGAGAAAGCTGGGTTCTTGAACTGTTTCAAAACACATTTCCGAATTAGTTTTTGGAATTCTTTGTTTTACTAAACGAGTCAATTAAATATTAAATTGTCTTCAAAATAAACATCTGGTAGAGTTTGACTGCTGATATGCAGAAGCATTTGGTTTGGTAACACTTTAACAGGCAAAGAAGAACAGAAATAATTGAAAAGTAGCAATCAATGGACATTGTTGGGATATTCAGGAAAAAGTTCTGGTAAATTAAATAAAAGGCTCTTACAGTGACAGAAAGGGTATTTATTTTGGGGTTTTTCAATATTTTTATTGCTCTTCCTTGAGGCTTCTAGAACATGGGACATACATGTACAATAAATCTTTTTGTCAGAATTGAAGACCCCCGTCGGTTAAGGTGGTATTTAAGAGCAGCAGCTGCAATGAATCATGGTATGAATATTAATAAGGTCTTCATCCAATCACAACTTTGGATCAAACTTAAGTCATATCCCCACAAGTTTTTATTAGATGCCTACAAACATTACACTTTAACAGTCTTTTGAAGGACAGGCTTTAACCTGTTATTCTTCAAATACAAATGTGACAAAAAATTTGTACAAAAAAAATTACTTTCAGCGGAAACCAGGTACTTGCAGAATAGAACTACGATATTGTTATGTTAAGCAGCATACTGTCCATTCCCAGAGTAAAGATGGGAGGGCCATAGAATTTTCCCCTTAAATTTTACAGTCCTCAATAATGGGAGTTGCTTATTTGTGTTTAGTCATCTCTATCTTGTCACTTGATTCTAGCAGTCTAAAGGGATTGTTCATAAAGATGTGACATAATAATACTTCAGATTGTATCATTTTGTAAATTTTGGAGCCGTTAAGCATTATTTATTGTACAATTTAATTTTTATTTTAATAGTAAATAAATTTACTATTGATTTAATATCAGGTAAAAAGACACCACTTATGTCTTATTTAATAAATCACAACTAAGAACAAACTGTACTGTCAAAAGCTTTTTTTGTATTTGTGACAAATGTTAAGTATCTACCGTGTTGTGGATGTGGTGTCCTCCTTTCCAGACGAAGACCGTTTGTCACGTGCTGAGCCTGGATCTGGGCTGCTCAACTTACTGAATGCACGTGTGGAAGGCTTTGTGGGCTTGTTTCTGAGGAACAAAAATATTATGATGTTTGTAGCAACACTGAGTGTTAGTATCAAAAACATTGCTTTGATTAACAAAATATATATATATATTAAAGATCTATATTAAAACACAATAAAGAGCCAAACAAGTATAAAAGCTACTAGGTTTAGGGTAAGCTTCATAAATAGGTTAAAAATGCTTAGACTTAAAAGAAATACAAGGAAGGAATTTCTATTAATTCTCATTACTTTGCACATACTGAGACTCCAAAGACAATTGTTAAAATGGAGTACTAGGAGAACTACAAAGACAAAATCCAAATAGAAAACTATAATAGAAAATAGAAAATAAATAGAAAATAGTATTTTTATTTAAATTCACTGTAGTTATCATGACTTAAAATTTAAATATTGTTTTTTTTCTAGCAGAGAGAAAACTGTTCCCTCTAATCTTGTTCACAAACAACACTATTTTGTTCAGTGGTCTAATATTTGACACGAGGATTTTTGCCATCAAGCATGCAAATCTGGAGAAACCTATTGTAACAATACAAATAAGTAAGAATCTCTCTGAATTGAAACCATCAATTACAAGTGCAGGTTTTTGAACAATACCCAAATACTTTTAGGGTTTTGTCAGTCAATGAACATTAATTATCCTAATCGCCTTATTTATACATGTGTGTTTTTAAATTAGTAATGCACACAGATTTGGGATATTTATTAAACGTTTTTGACATTTTGATTATTAATAACTGACTGACATACTGACATATGAACAAGAGTTCACTGCATATCAAGACAATATCACTTCCATGAATTCAGTGTTTTTGGGCAATATCTTTCGGGTACACACCACAGTGGAAGAAAATCACATCATAACACATTTAATAACCCCGTGTCCAACTCAAGGTCATGGTATCACGGAGCCTATCCCAGGAAGCACCAGACACAAGGCGGGACACACCATGGATGGGACGCTAGGTCATCGCGGGGCACACACAGACACAAACACCAGTTTGGTTTTTACAATTGCCAATTCACCTACCAGTATGTCTTTGAAATGTGGGAGGAAACCCACGCAAACATGGGGAGAACAAACACCATGCAGATAGCACCTTAAGAATTGAACCCAGGGCCCCAGTGCTGCAAGGCAGCAGCGCTAACCACTGTGCCACAATGCTGCCCGTGGAAAAGCATTTTTAGCAACAAGTTAAGGTTTGAGTAGACCACTCTAATGGACATCAGGGAGCGTTATGCAGACGTGCAAAAAGATAATTGTTTTGTAGAACAGACCAACTTATTGAGAGGCCCAAGTGCGACAGATTAGTCAGTACTGTATAGTTGCTACAGAATTCCACATTTTAGTAAATAAAGGCAACCTGACTGCATGGTAGCACACACTGAGTCCCAAGACCTCACTTGCTGACATTGCTGTGGGCCCATCCTGATGTAACAATTCTCCAGCAGGACAACATGTCCTCATGCTGCCCTACACAACACACTTCCAACACACTGATAATTTTTAAGTGATGTGTGGTATCTATGGTTTATAGTTTAGTAAACAGCCACATGCTTGTCCAGGCTCTATAATAGGAATGGAACAGAATCATACAAGTGGCACCCGCAACCGGGTACAATGCATGTATTATAGTCATACATCATGAATCACTTCCAACACTGGCGATATAAGCTACTAACCTGTTACTTTCAGAGTAGACCCCCTGATGATCAATCCTGTTGATGACAAATGTTAATTAGCATAATGAATTTACTTATGTTATGTCTGTTTAACAAAATGTTAGTGCAGCTGCTACAAAAAACAAGCAAAGCACACTAAAACAATCTCTGTTCACACCTAAATCTTAATTATACAATGATAACCAGTTAACCTAGTAAGGACAACAGGAGGGTGTCATGTACTTGCAAAAACTGTTGATGCTCATTTCTACATTTTGTATTCCTTATTTCTCAAGTATGAAACCCTGATTTCACAGCATTAAATTTGCGCCCAGACTGACAGGGAAAGGTGTTGTATGCATATACAAAAGCTCACAAGTTGGCAATGGTGTCACAGAGCAGTAAATTGAAATTGTATTGGCTTTTCCATTCAATCTTTTAAACAGTGACTGATCATATCTGATAAACTGATTCTTGAGGGCTTGCTTCCTCACAACAACAATTACAGCTTCTACAACAACTGGGCATCAAGGTTAACTCATAAAACCCGACTGCACTCATTAGATTCCCCTACAATGGCAACAAGATTCATTGCCACTGGGTTGCACATCTGCTGTTTGTACATCAACAAACTAACTCCTGGTTATTAGCACAAGGTGATACATTATTAAGTTCCATAACTATTTCTCAAGTGGCTCTAGTAGAGTTTGCTTAAATCATAATAATGGGGATCATAACTCGTTTTGTTGTAGTCCTTTAATGTTGTGAGGGGGATCATTAATGACTTGAAAAATCAACTTGTTACCGCTACAGTAATCACACTGTGCAATATCCTTGCCAAAACTAAATCTGAAACTCTCAACATAATTATTTTGACAGGTCTCATATCAAACATTCAGGCCATCAAATTCCTCTGGCAAAAGATTAAATAAGTACGTAGTTTCCTTACAGCATGCCCTCCTGTTATGCCCTTGTTTGCCTCCAGTCTCTCTAGTCAAAATGTCCACCTGAGGACCCTGGAGTTTTAACATTTTAGCGTGGGACAAGGGACAGCAACAGTACCTAGGTCCGTGCTTCCAAAACATGATGTTGTCTTTACTGCCATTTCTCCAGCCAGCTCATCACAGGCTAAACAATTTGAATTTTATATTTGGGCCATATTTCCTTCGTTGAATTAGCTTGGAACCCACTGAATAGGACAGCAAAGGATATCAACCCTGGACAAAACCCTTTAAGTCAGTTCTTAAAGTCCAGAGGGTAGTGTGATGAAAGTGTGACAATAGCTTTTGTCTTCCAGCATCCCTAAGATTGTACCTCTCAGCTTCCAGGCGTGATGCAGACCGCGTTGTCGCTCGTATCTGAGTTTCTTCTTCATCCTCATCATCCTCATCCACCTGTTCTTCCTCTTTTTCATCAGTCTTTTTGGTTTTCTTGTCAGATTCTTGTTTTTCTATATAAACCATAAAAATAAAATCACTATCTGTAGTAGTAAAAGATATCATCACTGTAATAATTCCTTATTGTCTTGATGGTGGACTTGTTACCCTGCCACATCTCCTAAGCTTACCTAAGTTGAAAGTTTAACCACAAGCTAGCTGGGCAACACTTCATTGCAGTGGCTCTGTGGCTAAGGATCTGTGCCTGTGGCTGGAAGGTTGCTGGTGTGTATCCCGCGGCCAGCAGAGGAATCCTACTCTGTTGGGCCCCTGAGCAAGGCCTTTAACCGCAACTGCTCCAGGGGTGCTGTATAAATGGCTGACCCTGCACTCTGACCCCAAGCTTCTCTCCCTGTCTGTGTGTCTGTGTCTCATGTAGAGCCAGTTGGGGTATGTGAAAAAGACAAATTCCTAATACAAGAAATTGTATACGGCCAATAAAGTGATCTTATCTTATCTTCTAATTTCCCAAAGACATTACATTTCCTAACCTTTTAACTCTTAACCTTAGAATTACACTCAGCCTTTGAACTGAGGTGATGCTTGCTGGTTAAGTTATGCTTAAAAAAAGAGAATAAATGGTAGGGTTAAATAATTTGGTGCAAGTTAACACATGCAGGATAGATCAGAGGCGATGAGTAGGGTACAAGTATACAGAAATGACACTCTGGATATTGCACATGGGTATTGTGACTGGCAAAGGATTACTGGATGTATTTTAACTTTGAAGTGATCTCTAACTAACCTTCTCCTACAGTAATTTCCAAATCTAATCCTGGAGGATCATTAATAGGACCCATTTTCTACATATATTTTAAAATAAATAATGCATAAAATGTAAAAACCTTTACTGTGAATGCATAAAAATATCCACTGAATCATTATTTTAATACTTATTAGTAAGTGCAAAACACATAAGAAGATAAACAACTATGGATGTGAAAATTGTTTATATGGTGCTTCATGGTGTGGAGTGATCTTCCAAAGAATTAGGTTACAAACTTAATGTTCTGAATCTCTGGTCAGGTCTTATTATATATATTTATAAGAAGGCTGCAGTACAGCAGTAAGTTGCCACAGGGGTAATTCTACATCAGTGGTCAGCAATCTATGGCACACATGCCATTATTGGCACGCAAAGGAAATTCTAATGGCACATGCAATGAAAGTGGTACATACAATACAAGATTAATATGTCACAAAGAAATTAAGTAAAATAAAATGATAAAACTATACCTGGGTGTTCTGTAAATCTCTACAACATGTTACCCAATGAAAGATCTTTGGCATAGAAACACTGATTCTTGTTTTATTTGCTGCAATATTTTTAGCGAGGCTAGCATTTTGTTTTCAGATGAGCTTGCAATCTACATCGCTCATAACATTTTGTACACTTAAGTGTAAAGTCAAACATTGTAAAGCCTTGTGAAGGTTTTGGTTATGTGGATTGTCTTGATGCAATCAAGATCTTTAGTCAAAAAAATGTGATAACTTCGGTAAACTGCATGATGAAAAATGGGTTACTAGTTAACATTCACCACACATATGAACCAACTCAACCTTTGGAGGGAACATGTGAGAACTGGCACCAGAAGTTTGTCAGAATTTATGATTTTCAACATTTTGGCACAATGTTTCAGTGGATGGATGTTAAGAAATTTGAAATGCACCGCAGTAAAATAAGCTCAAAGTTCAATAGTTGATTGATTTTCATTTTTGGGAACTTAAGTGTCTTAAAACCACGTAGAGATGTCAAACGTCTTGCATTTTGTGAGAGTTACACTTTATCATTAAAATAAATTTGTTTTTTGCCTATTTGTTTTTAAAACATGATGTTTCAGATGTCTAACTCTGCTAGGAAAATATACACTGGGATTTTTTTCCTGCATTTGGATCAACATACCTCTGTGGACAGGTTAATAGCTAAACTCAGCAAGGGAAAGCAAGGATCACATTAAATGGTAATTAATTATGAAAACTATTATAAATAATGGTAATAATTTGTATTAATTTATAAGAAGGATCATTTGTAATGTAACTAAGGTCATTACTGAGGTTAAAAAACGTATCCATGGCGTGAAAATCTCTTAAAACAAGGGCACCAGCTTATACTTGGGATGCCCCTTCTTAAAGGATGCTGACCCCTACATGAGGATTAAGTCTTTTATAGTTCTACGTCCTTACAACTAAGCAGTATACCTGGCTCTTCAGACACAGCTGCAATCACTTTGCAAGGCCTTCCTCTCCGAACTACTTTCTTCTCCAATGATTTCCCTTTGTCTTCATCCTAAGATAAGTAAATAAGGCAAAGAAGTCATCTATTTTACTACGTTACATTAATATGTGAATATAAATACATTCACATTCCAAATATTCAAAATTTATTGGAGTGCTGACTGATGTAATAAAACAGTGACTTACATTTTCAGCTTTTGATTCATGTAAGTTTTCATCTCCTTTTCCATCCTCCTGATCTTCCAAAGGACTGCCTGAATAAAATATAAAGGAAAATAATCTTATGCCTCATACAGGGAACTATGCATTGGTCATCTGCTGATAAAATACAGCTAACCACTTACAACTGTCATCTCGAGCTCGTTTTGGCATTCGCCTCATTAGGGCAGCGTTCTTCTCTTCGGCTTCTTCAGGTTCTCCTTCCTTAAATTATAAGAAATGTAAAACGTGATCATTTGTATACTTTTAATATCTGTTTTAATATTAAATTGAATTCATTCATTGAAATTGAATCGCAAGTGAATACGATAGAAAGTTGCATATAAGAACCATTAATATCCAAATCCACCAGTAACAAACAAAATATTACTCACATCAGAGTCCTCATTTTCTTCTGCCCTCTTTCTCTTTGTAGCAGGCTTACCTGAAGGATTTCAAGTAAAGTTATTTAAACTCCTGCCCATCCCTTACCAGTTCAATTTTTGCTTGAGTTTCTTAGCAAAGGAAACCAGGTTTCTGGATAATACATCCCAACATTGTTTTGGAATCCATCCATTCCTCTTTTCCCCAATATGGACACCAGGAGCAGAGGATTCAAAACAACCCCAAAGCAAAACAGAACCAACTCCATACTTCCAAGAAGAGATGACATTCTTTCAACATGAGTTTACCATTATGTACTAAACCTTCAGCATTCTGTACTGGCGAGACTGCTTTGTGTTTCATCGGCTACATCATGTAGTCAGTCCCATTTGACTCGGTAGTCAATTAGCTGCTTTCTGCTATTCTCATTTCTTTTTGCTTTATGTTGCCATGAAACTCACAGAAACTGATTGTGTAAACCACAGATTTGTGAGGTCAGCTTCAGATGCTACTTTCTAGGACATTGTATCCTAATGATGCCAAAGGTTTTCTGAAGATTGCCACTGTTGCCATAAGTTGTGAGTTAGCCTTCCAAACCACTATTTGGGTAGTTTAGTCCCCTTTATAGAAAGATATAAACCATCCCACCTGCCTTGAACTGCATGATGGACAGAAAATGAGCATTTTTCATAGCATTACTCAACTTGTGGAGGTCAAACAAACTTTTACATTTGACGATCTGACAGTTATTTGACTTTTCCCCATGATTACCAATATTGACTGGATTGTATCTGTGTGTAACCTCCTTTTTACCCTCTTTATCCCCAAGATGACATCCACAAACTTCTAAAATCTTCCAGATGTTTTGAAAATGATCAGATGGCCACAATTCAGAGCATTATTCCATTTACAGTGTCTTCAGTAGTCCTCTAATATCCCATTTTGTGAAATTACAAAATGATCTGCACATTTTTTAAACTGAACAGTTCTAATTTACATTAAATGTCAATCAAAACAAAGAACAGAAATATCCTGATTGCATAAGTACCTAAACACTTTAACTC